TTCCACAGGAAGTGGAAGGAAGAAGATACATTTTAATGTGTACTATTAGACTTTGACAAGAATGGGTAGTGGTGGAGAGCCCTCTAGTGGAAGGGAGCATGGCATTTGAGGAACTAGAAGGCCGATAGAGCTGAAGCTCAGAAAAGAATCTGACTAAGGCTGGCAAAAGGCTTTTTTGGCCTTTAAATGCAATGTGATCAATTTCTTATTGGAAATAAATTAATCAGAGGTTAGTTTCAGTCTCAGTGTATGAAGGTTATATGTAAATTTTTCTTCTGCCTGTGAAAGGTTAGAAAAGAGGCTTTGTGAGGAATTAAAACTTAAGGAGAATATTTTTTTCAGGGGTGGGAAGTAAGAGGAGAGTTAGGGAAACATTTTTCCCAAGGAGAAACCCAGAAACTGATCGTAAAGAGAAGCTGCAAGGCCTTTTTTGACACCAAGCTCACCCCACGTTCCAAAGGCACAGAGGAGCCCCAAAAGGATGAGTTAGAGAACTTGACCTATCAGTAAGCTGCTAACCAAGAAAAATAATTGGAAAAATATGTTGTACATATTTAATTTTTATAACACTACTAGAAAAACTACCTGCTTTATTACTTCATATTCTGTATTTATTATATGAGAACAGGTTACATTTACAGTGAAGTTCTTTTTTATTTCCTCACACACAAAAGACTAGACAGAGGGATATTCTTTATTACCTTCTCTCCATTTGTTTTATTAAATTAATAATTATGCACAGGGAAAATCATGCAGCAACATATATTAACAGATAACATTGTTTACCTCAGAGTGGAACTGCTGAGGAAAGGCTGAAATTAACTTTTTTTTTGGTACTTTGTTGTTTAACTTAGTTGCAGTATTTATAAAATAACCAGTAAAGTGAGCTGATTTATAAGGGAAGCATAAATATAAAATAAATTAATACAAATTTGTAGAATGATTAAAAATGCAATATAGAGCCGAAACCAGTTTGGCTCAGTGGATAGAACATCAGCCTGCAGACTGAAAGGTCCTAGGTTCGATTCCAGTCAAGGGCATATACTTTGGTTGCGGGCACATCCCCAGTAGGGTGTGTGCAAGAGGCAACTGATTGATGATCCTCTCTCACCGATGTTTCTAACTCTCTATCCCTCTCTCTTCCTCTCTGTAAAAAAATCAATAAAAGTATATTTAAAAACAAAAACAAAAACGCAATATAGAGGTTTACCGTGTAGGAAGTGTACCACTCTATTTTTGGCTATATATATATAAGTTTTCATTACTGTACAAGACAGAAAGAATATTATGTAAATATAGATATATTTATAAAACTATATACTTTTTATTTATATCATGGGCGTCTTGATACATATTCACTTTATTTTCTAAATACTGCATAGAATTTTAAAATCTTTTGTCAGGAATCCTGTTTAAATTGAAATATATACAGAGAAAAGTGTCTAGCTTAGTGACTTTTATAAAGTGAAGACATGCATATAACCACCATCCAGATCCAGATCAAGAATAGTGCTGATCACTATATAAGCTTTTCTCACACTATGTCCCAGTAATGAACCTGCTTCCTCCTACTTATAGGTAGCCATTTATTTGGATAACTAGGGGCCCAGTGCATGAATTTGTGCACCTTGAAAGGAACTGTGGGCTTCGAGGCGGTAGGCACAGGGACTGGTCTCAGCCCATTCTTCATGCTCTCTCCTGGTCCCTCCCACCAAGGCACCCCCAATCCCTGGTCTCCTATCTGCTGGCAGCCCCACTCCCGCCACTGCTGCTCTCACACACTGATGGTACTAGCCCCACTCCTACCCACTGATAGCATGGAGTGATTAGGGCTGGTGCCAGCAGCAGGTGTGAGCAGCAACTGCTGCCCTGATCACCCCTCAGGAGCAGCCCTGAGAGGTAATTATTATAGATGCTGCTACTCACACCTGATGATGACACTGAACTATCGGACCGGTGCCAGGCACTGGCAGCAGATGTGTGCGAGCAGCAGCTATGGGTGCAATGGGGCCAGCACTGGCAGCAGTTGTGAGCGCTGGAGCAAAGAATTTTCAGTAACCACCAAAGGCTTGCCCCTGTGACAGAGACCAGCACCCTGCCTTAGACTGGCGTTCCAGCTCACCTGCTCCACCATCTTGCTGCAGCTGACACCTACCATGTTCTGTGCACACCGCTGATGGTCAGCACATGTCATAGCAACAAGTTGTTCAGTTGTTTGATTCCTCTGTTAAGTCTATTTGCATATTAGGGTTTTATATATATATATAGATTGTGTCTCTTAGTTTTATATAAGTTGAATCATATAGCTGTGTCTAGCTTTTTTATGTGTGTCTGATGGTTTTTGGACAACATTGTTTTTGTGGGATTTATCCATGTAGTCTATAGTAGAATGCATAAGTACCACAATTATGCATTTTCCTTTTGATGGGTCTTTGAGTTGGTTCAAATATGAGCTTTTTTGTACGTGTCTTTTGAACACATTGCTATTGAGCATGTACACATTTCTGTGTGCTATATACTGAGGAAAGAAACTGCTAGGTTGCCCTAGCCAGTATGGCTCAGTTGGTTGGATCATCATCCCATACCTCAAAAGGTGGTGAGTTTGATTCCTGGTCAGGGCACATACCCAAGTTTTGGGTTCAATCCCCAGTTGGGATGTGTACAGGAAGAAACAAATCTAAAATCAATTTTAAAAAAGAGGAGAAAACCCTAGCTGGCTTCTTCAGTGATTAGAGCACCAGTCCACTGCCTGAAGGGTTGCGGGTTCAATTTAAGTCAGAGGCACATCCCTAAGTTGCAGGCTTGACCCCTGGCCCTGGTTGGGACACGTGGAGGAGGCAGCCAGTCAGTGTCTCTCTCACTGTCTCCCCCTCCCTTACACTCTCTCTGAAAAAATAAAATCAATGGGAAAAATACGCTCGCTTGAGGAAAAAAAGAAACTGCTAGTCATATGGTATGCATATGTTTAACTTTAGTATTATAGATACTGCCTCATTGTTTCCCAAATGATCCTGACATTTTACCCTCCTGCCAGCAGTATGAGAATTCCATATACTCTGGGTCCTTGCCAAAACTTGGTATTGATGGGTTGTTGTTGTTGTTTTTGTTTGTTTTGTTTTTTTTGGGGGGGGAGTTGGTTGGTTGTTTTGTTTCTTGGTTATTGTTTGTTTTGGTGACTGACTTAGATCATTACTTTTAAAAGTCTGCCCAGTCTTTTATCATGTGAGTATACCATAATTTAACTAATCTTTTGATGGGCTTTTGCCCTTTTCCTTTACTACCTGGACAGCACTAAAATCTAGTGGGCTCAGTGTTCGTTCTGTACGATCTGACTGAGAGAGATCCAATACTGAAAGTAACAGAACTGATATAGTCTATTTTTTCTTTAAAATTTTTCCTCAAATTCTCTTTGTTTTGAGTAGTATGGTACTGATGTGAAGAATCCACATAAAAATGTTTTATTTTGTTGACATGAAAATCAGTTTTGATTGCATGGTGGAAAACTGTTTTCTTCACTCTTGTTTAAAAATAATGTAATATCTGAATCTGGATTTGTGATAAAGGCATTGCTAAAGACAGCCAACGTTAAATAATTTGCATTCTTTGAACAAGCATGGAGTGCTAGCTGCCAGCACCTGCTTCACATAGATCATCAATCCATTGGAAAACCATTGTGTGAATTATTTGAGAATGTAATCACTTAGGTTTTGGGAAACTGAATTTCACCCTTTGGAAATGAAAGGTGGTTCCAATCAGAGAACCTTGCTTCACAGCCTAACTTGTCTTTTAACAAAACTTCCCTCCCCCATATCCGTAAGTTTTCTTCTAACATAGGTTTTGTTGTTGTTGTTGTTTGTTTGTTTTGTTGTTGTTGTTTTTGTTTTTTTAAGTATGAAACTCTAGGGGCTTGCTTTTAATGAGTTGAATATAATCTCTTGCTTCTCATGTTAGGGTGTGTGATTACTTCATGATAACCACTCTTCCTGTCGTGCATTATAGCTTTAAACAGGTTGTCACAGGTGGTATTCAATACTATCCAGTTACCATAAGTAATTCCTTGGGAGAGTTAAGATACTGTTAACCCTCTCTGATAGCTGACTGGTCCTTTCAAAAGTGCCTTATGGACATATAAGACAGTTTCATCTTTCCTATTATTCTTTGCTTTGCCAGATGTATGTTAAATTATTCATTTTTGGAATAGCTATAATGTCCAGAAGGAGCAAGTGATTCTCATACAAGTCAGTTTTAGGCATGCTTTTTACTTTCACATGTGGAAGTTTTCCCCATTTCTAATTAATTGCTGTCAAGAGCTTCTTACTTATAGCTGAAAACTACTGCTTTATATTCTGTTCAGTTTTTTGAAAAGTCTGTGTTTGAAGACTGTTTTTATCACTTGAGATTTCTTAAGAGGTCATATTGCAGCAGAAGTCTAAAAGTCTTCCAATTCTTAGTTATCTGTACCAATGGTAACGAATCTGGAATGCCTAAATGAATTAACAAATAAGCCAGAAACTTTATTGAAGAGAGTATTTTCAATTACCTCTTTTTTCCCAGCCCCTAACTCTTTTATCAATATCAGTAATTAGTAGCAAAACTTCCTTGCTTGATTTTTTTTTCCTTCTCAATATCTATTAAAAATTCTAATATTCTAAGCCAGGATTGGGGTGGAGGTGGTGGTGGTTGGAGGAGCACAAATCTAATCAATTGCTGATAAATAACTATTACTTAGGAATCTCAGAATCTCATATTTATCGACCAGGTTAAGAGATTGGTTTTAGAGACCACTTTCAAATCTTAGTTAATAAAATGCTGACCTCTAGTAGGTAATTCTGAGTATACCCTATACATTTAGCCAGCTTTTACCAAGAAGCCCAATATAAGAGTTGTTCAAGTTGCAGCTTTCTTATAAAAAAGAGAATAAAAAACCTAGAACCAAGAGAACCCTCCTTAAGTTCCCTGCTACTTCATTACTTGCAACAGCTGTTTCTCTTTCTACATAGGCATCAGTCAGAGCCGGATCTCTCACTGGCTGTTGCAGCAGGGATCAGACCTGAGTGAGCAGAAGAAAAGGGCATTTTACCGATGGTATCAACTTGAGAAGACAAATCCTGGTAAATATCATTTCCTTTTTCTCATTGTATATGAAATGAGACATATGTAATTAATTGCTTTATTGAATCCATGTGCTGCCTTGTCTTCACCATGGTAGTTTCAGACTTTACTGTTTTACTTTTAACCCAAAAAACACTCTTAACTGCAAAACCTAAGCCCTATTGTACCAATTTTTAATTTAGTGTCTATTATCATCTAAGGTTTATTTCCAGTTTTTTTGATATTTCTAACCAGAGTTTGAAGGAAAAGTCATGGTTGTCAGTGGGCTATTTTCTTTGCTCAACTATAGGTACACATAAGATTCCATGTCTAGTTTTTTGTTGTTTTTTTTTAATCTTGTTTGAGTTAGTAGTATCAACATACTTTCACTTACTCCATGCTATACCTTATCCAATGTTCTCTGCTAGTGGTTTTCTACTTTTAATTCTAATTAAGTGTGTCTTTGGACTTAGGGGGAAGCTGTCCAGATGACTTTGGGAGCAGCAAATAGGTTGGAAAGTAGAATAAAATTTTAAGGAAAAAGATCACAGAAACCTTTGTTTCTGAGGTTGCCAGAAATAGGCAAATTCTAGTACAGGATACTCTTAACAAGTGGTATATGGCCAACACCGGTTTGGCTCAATGGATAGAGCGTCGGCTTGGGGACTGAGGGGTCCCGGGTTCGATTCCGGTCAAGGGCATGTACCTTGGTTGCGGGCATATCCCCAATAGGGGGTGTGCAAGAGGCAGCTGATAGATGACTCTCTCTCATCAATGTTTCTAACTCTCTCTCTCTTTCTCTCCCTTCCTCTCTACAAAATCAATAGAATATATTTAATAAAAAAAAAAGGAAAATACATCTTTAATTAAAAAAAACAAGTGGTATATGAAGTAAAACCTGAAGTTGTATAACAGACTGTCTCAGACTACACAGACTGATGGCAGTGAGCCCAATCTTCAAGTTGACCTTGTGATTGAATTGTCTTCTATAATATTACAGCATTAAAGCCTTTGCTTACAGACTGAATTACCAGTTGTAATATTGCATATCGAAGACTCTTACCTAATAATAGCATTGGCCCTGAGGCAGAAATAAAGAATGTTCTAGAGACTTATTTTTCTGTGGCTGTGGTAAGATATTTTTCAGAGATCACATTCTTGACCTGAAAAGCTTAGGCAGGCCAAAACAGAAGAGACCATATTAACCTCTCTGCACTGAATTTTTTATCTACCTGACACCCAGTTTCTATTTTGAAATGTTTCAATGTACAGAAAAGTTGAAAGATCAACACAGTGAATATCTGTTCACCCTCTTCTTAGATACAGTAATTATTAATATTTTGCTACATTTGCTTTATTCCTATAAAATAAATTAACTAAAAACTTACATATATGTATGTGTGCATGCATACACACTCTTTAGCATTCATCTCCACAAAAAAAGTAATTGCTTTTATAACACAGTTCCTATGATCACATCTAAGAAAATTAATAATAATTTGCTGGGGCTGATCAGCAGCCCCTGAACGACAGATGAACAGACTACTCTGACACAGTTTGACTTGGGGGGAGAGGGCTAAGGGACAGCCCAGCTGAAGAAGCCAGGCAGCCTAGATTGCCTGCCTCGTTAGGCTTTTATTGGAATTTTTATCTTTAGATACAATCAGTAGGGTGAGTAATCTTGGGAGCACACATGTGTTTACATTGTCCTCTAGGCAAGGACATCCAGGGATTAAGCATAGGATTCCAGTAAACACTTGGGGGTCTGCACATGCTCAGACTTGTTTGGAAAGGTCAAGGAATAATTAGGGATGCTGCCTTCCACACTCCCCAACTCTCCCCGAAGTCGGATTTCCGATAAACTGGGCAGGCGCCTTTCACACAATTCCCTTTTCTCAGAATATCCTCCTTACAACTTTCCAACCAAGTCTCTCATGCTCCCCAACAATAAGTCCTTAATATCATCTAATATCCAATCTATATTTACATTTCTCTAAATGTTATAAGAATGTCTTTGGTAGCTTTTTAAAAATTGAGTAGTATCTGATTTAGGTTAATAAGTTGGAATTTGTTATGTGTTTTAAGACTCTTAAATCTAGTCACTCTATCTTTTCATGACAAACTTTTTAAATCATTTAATATTATAATGTTTCATATTTTGGATTTTTAGTTTTCTCTTATTGTCAATGAACTAATCTCTCTAAGTATTTCCTATAAATTGGAAGTTAGGATTAGAGGATTGATTAGATTAGGTTAGGCAAGAATACTTCATAGATTATTTAGGGAGGGCATGCGTTAATGTCTGCAATTTACTTGGAAATGCATCAAAGTCAAATGGATAGGAAGATGATAAAGAAATGTGATGAACTTAGTATGCACTGTGTTGTACAATACTAGATGGTATGAGTACAGATTTTTGCCATAAATTCTTTTATTGTGCTGTATGTTTGAAAATTTTCACAATAAAACATTGGGACAAAATGCTTTTTAAGTAATGTTTACCTCAATTTACCTACAACCTGCCAGAAGTGTATACTGGCAGGTTGTAGCATTATTTGTATGCTAAATTTGATCATTTTTTAAAAAAATATATTTTTATTGATTTTGTACAGAGAGGAAGGGAGAGAGATAGTTAGAAACATCGATGAGAGAGAGTCATCAATCAGCTGCCTCTTGCACACCCCCCACTGGGGATATGCCCGCAACCAAGGTACATGCCCTTGACCGGAATCGAACCCGGGACCTTCCAGTCCCCAAGCCGACGCTCTATCCCTTGAGCCAAACCGGTCCCAGCTAAGTTTGATCATTTGTTAAAAGTAGTGATCATCAGGTCTTGTTACAGTTTATAAATAATCTATAGGGTGTAATCTTGCCACTGGATGACTTTCCTCTTCGACTATTTGCCACTAGTCTTAGCATTCTTTGATGATGCTCCTCTGAATCAGTTGCTCCAATGGAGATAGCAGATTGGTGGTAGTCTAACATTCCATCAGCATTTATTAGCTGGCAGTTTTTCTGCAAAAGAATTTCATTTTTAAATATTTTTCTAATGATTTCTACACACAACAAACCTCTCAAAATAATGTCTCTTGTTGTCATTAGTTAAATGTTCTAAATTAGCACATTTCAGTAGAAATATAATGCAAATGACATGTGCAATTTTAAATTATCTAATAACCACATTTTTAAAGGTGAGAAGAAATAGCTAAACTTAATATATTTTATTTAAAAAATATATGTTATTTTTCAGCATTTAATCTTTTTTTTCTTTGTACTGATTCTTTGAAATACAATATATGTATTAAAATTAAAGCACCTATGACCAATCAGCCACATTTCAAGTGTTGAATAGCCCCAGGGGCTAGTGTCTACCGTATAGGTCACCACAGCAGCACTTCAATCTCAGCTTATAGCAATCTTTCCAAAGATAGCACTTCTCCCATGATTCACAGCAGAGCAAATCACATGAAGAGAGACAGAGCTTGGCACTTGTCTGTTTAATTAATAGAGCAGCTTAGGCTGGCTGGTGGCAAGGGTTCAGCTAAGTAAATAAGGAACTGTGCTTTGGGGTTTCATGACCTAGCCACATTGCAGAAATTGGTTACCAGGGCGCACCAGAAATTGTCAGGATGTTCCAAAATAAAGAATTTGGAGGGCAAATACTAGTCATTTGTGTCAGGTAGTCTGCCTCCTTAAGAAAAGAGATTTTTGTCAGTTGTATTTGGCACTTAGAACAATGCCTAATGTATAATCTTATCACAGTTGGTAGTGCTAAATTTCCACACTGAGATTCAGGGCTGGGCTCCAGTCCCAAGCAGGAACTTGGATATCAGGAAAACAAATTCATTAAAAACAGGAAGGGGAGACCAAGGTACAACATTTTTTCTGTTGATCTGATACCACTTCCCACTGCAGAATACTGTTGTTGGAATTCATATTTTAGCACTGAGGTGGATATTGTGTTCTTCTGAAAATTATGTTTTATTTTTAATCTTAGTTCCTATTTCAGTCTATGTTTGAACCAGAGCTAGGTTCACCCATCAGCAGGAAATTGGAGAAAATTGGAACTAAGGCTAGTAGTTTTCATTGCATAAACCAATTGGATGTTAGCAATTAAAATTTAATTTTAAAGGTTTTATTTGTATTTCAATCTTTATTATAAAAGCTAATATGCTATGGAATTCTTTCTAGTTAAGTGCAGTTTTATTTTTTGTTCAATTACAGTTGACATACAATATGATATTAATTTCAGGTATATACTGCAGTGATTAGACATTATATAACTTACTAAGTGATCATCCAATATATCTCGTACCCATTTGACACCATACATAGTTATCATAATACTAGGGGTCCCGTGAATTTGTGCTCCTTGAAGAAACTGTGGGCAGAGAGGCTGTGGTGGGCACAGGGGCAGGTCTTGGCCCATCCTCTGTGCTCTCGCCTGGCCTCTCCTGCTGTGGCCCCCAGTCTCCTGTCTGCTGGCAGCCCCACTCTCACTGCCACTACCATGAGCTGACAGCACTAGCCCTGCTCGCAGGTACAAGCGAGTGGTGGCTGCCAGCCCCAATCCTTCCTTCCAGCGGGAGGAAGTGGAGAAGCCCTTAGGGGTGATCGGGCCTGGCGCCAGCAGCAGGTGCAAGCACTGGGTGGACCATAGTGCGTGGGAGCAAAGAATTTTCAGTAACCACCAGAGGCTCACCCCAATGACCGTGACCAGTGCCCCGCCCTGGACTGGCACCCCCGCTCACCTGCTCCACCATCCCACTGCCCATCATGTTCCATGCTCTGCTACCAATGCCAACCACGTTCCACTTGCGTCCTCTCCTGGTCAGCGCACATCATAGCGACTGATTGTTTGGTGGTTCTGCCATTCAATCTAATTACTAGCCTTTCATTATATAGGATTATTGACTGTGTTCCCTATGCTGTGCTTTACATCCCTATGACTATTCTGTTACTGCCTATTTGTATTTCATAATCCTTTCACCTTTTCACCTAACCTACTCCTATCTGGCAA